AAATTTCATTAGTCTATCTCTTTTCGTTTTCAAGATAAAAAATAAAAACATTATTTTTCCGCCATCTTTGTACCGCGATATCTCCCTAATGGTTGACTTTTGACCCAACGTTTATAAAGCAAACTACCCTTTATTTTGAACAAGGAATCACCCCCTGAAGTTTTTCGCATTTGTTTTGAAACACCCTGTATATACCGGGTGCGTCTCAAAAGTGGCTCACCCCTATAACTTTTTTATTTTTTCAGATAAATAAACGAGATTTGGTATGTTAGTATATGACATAAATTAGGACTGATTGGTGTATTCAATTGCTTTTGGTCACTTCCGGTTTCACCGGAAATGACTACAACTTTTGATTTTTAAATGGCACCCTCGGTATTTTTTTAATGTATTCGATAGAAAATGACATTCTGAATAGAATGACATACCATATGTCAACTTTTGACATTCTCGCTTAATAAAAAATTGTATTTTAAAATTCAATCTAGGGTGTTAAAATGGCTATGGTGTCAATCTAGGCTATGTTAAAATCACTAATTCTTCACCAAGGAGCCTTGGAAAAATAGATTCGATCATCTAATGTTCTTAGTGTCTTGTCCTGGCCAGTTAGAAAATGCTCTAATCGTATTTTTAATCATATCTCAATTTTTTCAAATGGAACGAGGGTGGCTCATAAGCATATTTGGAAAAAGCATTTTTTTACGAATAATTTGATACCATACACTTGGTATTTCAAGTCAAATTTTCGTTACGAACCGCAAGTTTTAATTTCAAATAAACCATATGCGAAAATGTCAAAAGTTGACATATATATGTCATTCTATTCAGAGTGACATTTTCGATCGAATAAAGTAAAAAAACACTAAGAGTCCCGAAATAAACAGAAAAGATTTGAAGTTATTTAAGGCTTATCCTGTATGGGGAAAATATTCATACTTGGTATCATTTAAGTCAATTTTTTACATCTAAATATTCTTTTTCTTTAAAAAATATCAATTGATTTTAAACTTAACTAAACATATGGCCACTAGATAAATATTTGACGGACAAATGGATCATTTTTTAGCTTTCATCGCAAAAAAAACGGATGCTATTATGCAAAAAATGCCAAAAAAACATCTAGATGGCTGAAAGTTGGTGTACTTAAGGAATAATTAAAAAAAGAATATCATAATAATATATAAAATAATGTTTTTGGAAATTGGCAAACAAATCCATTCTTAGTCATTTATTTTTTTAAATATCAAATTTTACAGCTACCTTAGAGCAAGAGTAATTTTTTAAACTAAAGACTATCGCTGAAATCAAATTTTACCCTAAATATATAAAAAATCCCATGTGATGTGACTTTATCTGAGACCCTGTATAAAATATGATAAAAAATTATAATACACGTATATTAAAAAACGCAGTTCTTTTGTAAAATGCATAAAAATAACTGTAATAATAAAATACTAATGGGAATTTCTATCTCATGTGGCAACATTTAAATATATCTTAATAATAACTAAACGGCTATATTGAATTCTTTGGAAAAAATACGAAATAATATTACACCGATGCAGAACCCAAACTGAACTTAAAGTAGTTTATAGTAGGGTTGCCAACCGTCCAGTATTCCAGAGGAACTATTCTTTTTGATCGTACTATCCTCTTTTCTCTAACGTATTCAAAAAGTCCTCTTTTTTACACACCAAATTGAAAATATAATAAATATTCGTCTATCACTAAATGCTTAATAAAATTGTTAATTTGGCAACAAATGTGTCTTTCTTCTTGATGTTTGGGCGAAGTTTCAAAAAACGTTTCACCTACGGCGATTTTTTACCCTCTCATCTCCTCTATTTTTTATTTTGAAAAAAGGTTGGCAACCCTAGTTTAGCAAATGCAAGACCAAGACTCCATTGGTTTTGGTCTTTTTTGGTTTGATTTTTTACTACATATTTATTAGAAACACTTTCTACATAGAAAATATTTAAATAAATTGTATTTATTATGTCTCTATAAAAAATATAAGAGTCAAATCATTGAAGCTTTTAAACAGAACTTAAACGTTTTTTTTTACATTTCTCCCGAACTAGAAATACCAGAATACCGAATACATCCCCAAATAATAAGAAAAAAATCAGATCCCACAAGGCCAATCAAATTATAAATCATCACGCCGAACCTCCGTAAGCCCATTATTATTTCCCCGGTCTATCGGCCGTCCAAATCTCGGACCTTTTTCGATACTGCAAAGAACGGCCAATTTTTCCCGGCCCCGCTCGACTAAAAATCGCGAAAGGATTCCAACGGGCGATCGAGCGACTAACCTCTGCCGCTGCCGCTGCGGGCCGGCCTGTTCGGCGTTGTTGGTTCGCAGGAAGAGACGCAGAAAAAGCGCACTAAATGGACAGTGGACGCGGCCCGCACTTAACTGCCACACTCTGCCGTCGAGCGAGAGACAATTCGGCAGCGTTGCCGGCTCTTGTCTTGGACGAAATCCCCGGTTTTAGAAGTTTCTGTCTTATAAATTAAACGAAACCAACATAAATTTAGTTTTTGTGAAAGCGTTTCGAAATTGACAGTTTTTGCTATTTATTTGAGATTCGATTTAGGCACTAGTGCCTAAAAGTAAAAAATGAAACGTTAGAAACAATAAAAATATTTATTTATTATAAATCTTAAAGGTACAATTATTTAAATTATTAAAGTGAATACAAGAGGCATTCAACTTTTCGTCTCTAAGAGAAATGCGAGTTGTAGGAGTCGGAATAAGTAAATTTCTTGTATTGGCAATGCTGGTAGCTTCTGCCTCTACGTGAACTGCTTTTAATTCCTTATTTGGCGTATCTTTCTGTCCCATGATTCTTTTTGCTATTTCGGTTTTTTGTTCAATTGAATTTTCAATGTAACCTTCAGCAATCGAGCTTGATCGCAAACCTCCATGTCGCTTTAAAACTGTTATGTCCCTGAATCTGCCAGCTGTCCTGAATCTGCCAGCATTGTTGCAGAGCTGTGCCGGAAACGACCAGTGTATTCAATGGCGTTGGAGAGTCCAAGAAATTCCGCTATCTTTTTTGGCATACCTCCAATTGTATTGATTCCAACTGGCAGGGTACTACCAACTAGCATTGATTTTTTCGATACGTTAAGAAAAATCGCTGATGTGTAACATTGAGTGCTCGAAGTTTTGCGTACTTACGAAATACATGTAAGAAATTGATACCATCTATCGGTCTCTCAGTAATCGTAAACACTCTTGGAAAATGAGTTTTTGTATTCGGAATCTTCACACTAATAAATGACTGACAATCTTTAATGGGATCTACGGTTAAAAACGTGATTTCTTCCCTCCTACATGCTCCAAATACTCCAACGATTAAGACAATTTTAGCTAACAGGAATTCTTTATCATCGGCTTCTTTCATAAAGCGTTCTATTTCCAGTTTTGTAAATACTTTTGATTTTTTTGCCTGATATCCGGAAGCTTTTCTTTTAAAAATGCAATAAGGTTTGTGAATATGCTAATATCTACGTTTCTGTTCAGGTAAATCATGAAGCGGAGCAACGAATATTTACTCCACAGAGTTGACGGCTTTAAGGTAGTGGATAACTTCAGGAAATTGTATTATACCATTTTTTATCTATCCCTTCAAATTTTCGTAGAAAATGCATTTTCGTATAGACCTCATTTATCAATATACCCATGGAATATTGACATTTTAGATTGTTTTAAAGCAACAAATGTACAATATGTTTCTGCTTTAATTGATCATGGTAGATATCAACTCCTGGACTGAAACCCATCTCTCCTAGAGGAACTGCCTAACAGTAATATTTTTCATTTTTCATTTCATATATTTCAGATTTTTCATTTCATATATCACAAACACTGTTTTATAGGTCCTGACTAGGACCAAAAGCAAAGGCATAGTTTTAATATAAAAAATACGTAAAATTGTTAATATCTTCTTCAAAATCGAATACCTCCAAAAAAAGTAAAGTTAATGAGATAAACCAAAAAACAAACTGCCAAGAAAAGATACACCTATATAATAATTCGTTTTTTATTCTTTCCCAATTAGTTGCATAACTAAGCAAAAAATAAAAGTTCTTTTATAGGAACACTAAAATTTAATAAACGTCGATATTTGACACTTAGACTATTTTCAAACTATTTTTCAGGGGAATCGAAATCATAAAATCCTTAAAATGAATAACATGTGGTCTAGTTCAAATATATTTTTACCGAAGAGTTGAATAATATGCATGAAAAAAAAAGTTTGATTGAATAATTTAAAAAAAATACAAAAAATCACCCACAGAATAAAAATATAATCTTCCAGAATATGAAAATTTTACTTTACATCGTACACCTGGTTTTTAGGATATGGTTATTACCGTTTATAATATTTTCCAACAGCAAGACGGCAGGTACGTTCAAACCCTCATAATAAATATTTTAGCACCCTAGTTATAAAGAGCAATAAACGACAATAATTCAATACTAACTAAAAACCCAAAATAACTATAGCACAATATAATTTTTATTGCACCTAATTTTTTTACAAGCCCTTAAAAGGCATTTAACTTCTATTTTGATTTTTATTGCTAGACCACCAGAGTTTTATAACTTTGGGTTTATACAAAAATCTATAACAATTAAAATATCGAAAAAACTCATGTGAAAAAAATTACATAAAATTAATTTTCCGCGCCATATTCCGCAATTGATAGCCTACGTCCCGAACTCGAATTTGTCCGAAAGCTTATTTGTAAATAATGGGATATTAATGGATAGTTAGTAAATCTATAAAATCTATTAGGTTAATCACAGACAGAGAAATAAAATAGTAAAACTACAAAATTTAGTTTTTCTTCACTTTTTTCAGTAAAACCACGAAAATCAACCCAATTTGGCATCGATGCGGCGTACCGAACCACGGCTGGAAGCCGCGAACCGAACGACACCACCAAGGAGGGGGAAAGGCACCAAAGAGTTCGTGGCCTTGCACAGCGCCGGTCAGTTCACGACGAGAAGTACCACCGCGAACCACGTCGACGGTCGTACCGCCGACTCCACCGTCGAAACATCGCGAATTACAGTACCGAAAAATGTGCCGAAGTACCTCGAAAAAGTCGCGCAGTTCCCGGTAATAATGCGTAATAAGTAAAACATCTGTAAAGTTCCTAATAAAGCAACAAATGTTACAAGAAAAAGCACCATGACAACCACTTCGTCGATATGGGTACTACTGTTCGGAGCAATCTTCGGAGTACTGTCGGCATCGCTCAGCAAAACCCTCCGTTACCAGGCTCCAGACGAGTGCAAGTGGGTGGTAGTTGACAGCAACTCAGAAGACGACGTAGCACTAGTTTGCCGGCTCAGAACCATCAACAGCGAGCTGGAAAACACCAACTTCAGCGTCATTCAACCCCACCACACCGTACGACTCAGACTGGAATGCTCCGATGATCTCTTCTTCCAGAGTTCCTTAAGCGCCGGTAGCTTCAAACCTTTAATCGAGCTCAAAGAACTCAGCATCGAGTACTGCAAGATCGGAAACCTCTCCGAAGGAGCTTTCAAAGGACTCAAAGAACTCAGAAACCTCACTCTAAAAACTCACAACACTGACTGGACCCTGGATGTTTCCTCAAATGCATTCTCTGACGAACTCAGGCTCTTGGAACGTCTGGACTTAGGAGAAAACAACATGTGGAGTCTACCAGAAGGTGTTCTGTGTCCACTACATGCCCTGGAAGTGTTGAATTTGACCAGGAACAGATTACGGGAAGTGTTCAGTTTCGGATTTTCGAGTGGTATGCCGGAAAAGTGCGGGGTTAACCTCAAAATTGCTGATCTATCGAGAAACAGGATCGAAAATTTACCGGCCGGTCAACTTTCTAGTCTAACTCACTTAGAAAAACTGTATCTTCAAGGAAATGGCCTAAACTCCTTAGCAGACCGTGCCCTCGAAGGACTGACAGCTTTACATATCCTAAAACTCTCCAATAACCGTCTTGTAAACTTGCCTCCGGAGTTATTCGCTGATACACGCAATTTACGCGAGTTATACCTTCAAAACAACACCATCAATGTGCTGGCTCCAGGTTTGTTTGGAGAATTAACCCAGCTTCTAGTTCTGGATTTATCACACAACGAGCTTACTGCTGAATGGATCAACGCTGCAACTTTTGCAGGTCTAGTCAGGCTGGTGGTACTCGATCTAAGTCACAATCACGTCGCAAAATTGGAGCAAAACGTATTTCGTGATCTCTACAATCTACAGATTCTTCGACTAAATGATAACCTCATTGAAACGCTTCCAGAAAATACTTTTAGTGCTTTAGAAAACCTTCATACTCTCATAATTTCTGCTAACCGACTAACAAGAGTTGAAGTTGATACCCTCAACGGTTTGTCATCTTTATCACTGTTGTCTCTGGATAATAACAGAATATCCTGGGTCCATCCGGATGCTTTGAGAAACTGTTCAGGATTACAAGACTTACACCTGAACGGAAACAAGCTTCTTCAAGTTCCTGACGTGATACGTAGCGTTCCTTTACTCAAAACTCTGGATCTAGGAGAAAATCACATTGACATGGTTAAAAACGAGACATTCTCTGGATTGGTTCAGCTCTACGGACTAAGACTGACTGAAAACAATATCGGAAACCTCTCACGTGGAGCCTTTGATCCGTTAACAGCCCTAAAAATCTTAAACCTTTCCAGAAACAAGATCCAAAAAGTTTCTCCTGGTGCGTTTGATGGAAACACCAACATCCAGGCTATTAGACTTGATGGTAATCTTTTGGCAGACATAGAGGGACTTTTTGCTAAACTACCCAGCTTAGTATGGTTAAATGTCTCAGATAACAAGCTCAGATGGTTCGATTATGCCCTTATACCTACAGGACTTCAGTGGCTGGACATTCACGCTAACCAAATAGAAGAACTAGGAAATTACTTCGAAATAGAGAGTACCTTGAGTCTGAGTACTTTTGACGCGAGTTCTAATCGTTTGACCGAGATCACCGGTAGTGCTATCCCGAACAGTGTTGAAGTGTTGTACCTCAATGATAACAGAATATCCAAAGTACAATCTTACACGTTTTTCAAGAAGCCAAACTTGACTCGCGTGGACCTTTTCGGTAACCAGATTACAAGCCTGGATCCTAACGCGTTACGTATTTCTTCAGTGCCTCCAGAACGTGATCTACCAGAGTTCTACATTGGAGGGAACCCGTACAGGTGTGATTGTACAATGGAATGGTTACAGAAAGGCAACGCGGCTTCTAGGACTCGAACCCAACCTCGTTTAGTTGATTTAGAGAGTATTTTCTGTGAGTTACTCTATAATCGTGGTACTACTCATGTTCCTTTGGTCGAAGCTGCTCCGTATCAGTTCCTATGCACCTACGATTCTCACTGTTTTGCTTTATGTCACTGTTGTGACTTTGACGCGTGTGACTGCGAGATGACTTGCCCGGATAATTGCACTTGCTACCACGATCAGAGTTGGAGTGCTAACGTCGTTGATTGTAGTTCAGGAGGACATGTTTCGCATTTACCCAATAAAATACCTATGGACGCTACACAACTGTACTTGGATGGAAATAATTTGAGAACTTTAAATAGCCACGCCTTCATCGGAAGGAAAAAGTTAAGAATATTGTTCCTAAATAATTCAAAGGTCGAGATAATACAAAACCGAACTTTCCATGGACTTAAAGAGCTGGATACACTTCACTTAGATGGAAATAGACTCACAGAAATCAAAGGTTTTGAGTTTGAAGGTCTGGATTCTTTAAGAGAACTATTTCTACAAAACAATCGTATTTCTTCCATCGAGGGATCAAGTTTTAAAGGGCTGAGACACTTACAGACGTTGCATCTGGATCATAACAGGGTCACGGTGTTTGATTTATGGACTATGCCGACTTCTTTGGTCGAGGTAACCGTAGCTTATAATCTGTGGTCTTGCGAATGTGAATTTGTCGAAAAACTACGCGAGTGGATGGTGCGAGGTGATGCAGTAAAAGACGTTTCAAAAGTTCGTTGTGTTTTTAACTCGACTGAAAGTTTCGGAGAGGATGTTGGTATGGATTACTATCACGAACAAGGTTTCTTAGTCACCCAACCCAACGGAACTATGTGTACCGGCGCGACAAACATCGATAACAGCATTAACGGAAATCTGACAGCTACCAAGACGATTATCCAGAAGCAAGTGGTGGAAGACTACCTTCCCTTGTTAGTAGTGACTTTAGCAGTCTTTGCTGCTATAGTTCTCTTGACTTTACTAGTCTTCGTGTTCAGGCAGGAAGTGCGCGTGTGGCTACACTCGAAATTCGGTCTGAGACTGTTCCAAGGTACCATCGACCTGGATCGTGACGAACGCGAAAAACTCTTCGACGCTTTCGTGAGTTACAGTTCAAAAGACGAAGCCTGGGTGGCCGAAGTACTAGCCCCAGCACTAGAACCCCAATATAAACTGTGTTTACATTACCGTGATTTCCCGGTGGGTGCCTTCCTAGCCGATAGTATAGTGCAAGCAGTCGAATCGTCGCGTCGTACCATCATGGTACTTTCCGAAAACTTTATAAAATCGGAGTGGTGTCGTTTCGAGTTCAAATCGGCGCATCATCAAGTGCTTCGCGATAGAAGACGTCGACTTATAGTGGTACTACTCGGTGAGGTACCACATAAAGACCTTGATCCGGATATCCGGTTGTACCTCAAAACGAACTTTTATTTACAGTGGGGTGACAAGTTGTTTTGGGAGAAATTAAGGTACGCTCTACCCGATGTACCCAACAATCAACGAAGGGGTTCAACAAGGACCCCGCACGTGCACCACCACGTGCACAGGCACAGCGGCAGGGGTCAACCACCGAATCCACCCGGAGGTGGTCAGCCAGGTACTAGGACTGTGGCCATCCATATTTAAAGGTCATTTTGTGATAGTGTTGTACGTCCAGTGCAATGTTTTATATAGCGCCCCATATAATTTTTATTTCATTTGTGATAAAATAGTCAAATTATCTTTTTTTAAGTGATACCTATAAAAACGATGACATTCCTTAATGACAGAGAGAGCTGAAATCGTTGACGAAGTTTTTAAAACTAATCCCGCTCTCTGTGTTTTAAATTGTTATTATTTTTGTTGTAAATAATTGATTTGTACAGTTTATTTAGACGCCTTCAAAAGACTGTAACACTTTTATACTATTTTTATTATTATTGTAAATATACACGTTTTCTATTTTTTGATATTTATTATTGTAGCTAATTAAAGAAATTTGCGAAAAGCAACAACGATGTACACTAAAAAAAATGCCTTCTAGCCTGTGAATATAGACGTAAATAAACAATTTATAAAATCGAAAATTACAGGTGTTTTATTTCCATATTCCTGGATTTATGAATATGTTTAAGAAATTTTCTAATTTTAAAAATAAGTCAACTGATAAAAAATGCAATTATATTCTTCCAAAAAAATTAGAAAGCAGAAAAATAATACTATTTTTTTTAAAGATACTTCCAGTTTTAAATTCGAATAATAAACATAAACTTTTGTGTGTTTCACATAGTTATGACCTTTTTTATTAGAGTTGTATTATATCTAAAGAATTTTCTACTTATTTCACCACATAGCCAGCGATATATATCTTTTCTTTTATAAAGAAAAAATAGTAAAATTATCTTTTTTAAGTGAAATTATAATGACAACATTTCTTAAAGACGGTTACTACGAATATAGAATTTATTTTTTTATTTCAAAAATATAGTATACCTCGACAGATTATTAAAAACATATTTTAATTTACACATAAATAGTATATTGTTTTATTGGGAGTAAAAATGATACTATTTGTGACTAGGCTTGACATTCCAAGGGAGGAGGGACCAAAAGTCATTTTTACTCCGAATAGAACATGCTATTTTATTTTCAAACGTCACAAATAATTTTTGAAACTTCAAACGTTGCAAATAATATCAAAAATTTAAAAGTAATACCCTGGAAGCCTTGAATAAGAAGACTAAGGAAGGAGCATAATGCTATCCATGTATTCATGCATGGTGGGCGGAAAAAGCTCTCTAGGGTGGGGATCCTTGACAGTTCTGTTTGACGATTCATTTGACACATTTGAATTTGATTTGAAATTTTGTGGATTTGTCAGTCTTTACGGAGCTTATTTTATGTTATTTATTATTTATTCTACTACTGATAGTTGTATAAAGGTAGTCAATCTAGATGGAAATTGTGGCAGAATTTAAATTAACAGTGACATTATCGCGATTTATCGAAAAAGACTCTAAAATAATTGTTTGTGTAGCGTGCGGTAGCTCTCGGCAAAAATTGAGTGAAATAATGGAACAACTTTTCGCTAGTAAGTGACTATATAATATACATACGTGTAGTAAACCGATCATTTATGAAATTCACTTAAATTAACTAAATTATATATTTTCTTGCATTTTAGCTTTTATTTACTACTTGTCAAAGATCAGATGGCAAAAAATTTTGATACGTTAATTTGACTTACCTGCTTCAGTAGGGTATCGGATGTTTGTGTTAATAAATACTTAATATAACTTATCTATTTTTATTAGAATTATATATTTTTATAACAATTTTAATAACTACCAACATTTATTCACAACGTAAAATAAAATAACACATTATTGAGTCTACCCCACGTCTACCCTACATCATAGTTTTACATTTTTTAAATAAAATTAGAATGGCACTGATAAACCGGAATTTAAGTCGGCCATATTTGAGGCCCATCGCGATGTACCTAAGATTTTTGATATGCTCCTTCCTTAGTCTTCTTAATCAAAGCCTGAAAGTAATTATATATCAAGAAACTATGGTTACGCACGTTGAATTTGACATTTTATGACAACACTACCTCCTATTGCAAAAAGTACCCACTTATATTTTTTTGGACCAACAGAATAATTTGATCCCTATCATACAGGGTGAATCTTAAACAAGTACACATATTTTTAGGAGTGATATTTTGAACAAAAAGAACTCTAAACTATGCTGTTTTTTTTTGTTGTTTTTTTTTGCGAAAAAAATTGTGAAAATTTTGCCTTTTTCAAAAGAAATTTTGGAAATTTTTCTAATTTTTAGTTAAGAAACATATCTTGATAGTATGACAACATAAGTAGTAGTTTAAATTTAGAAGAACGAAAACAGAGAAAAAATACAGTGGTTATGAAAAAATACATTTTTTTGGAAATTTTCAAAGTAAAATAAATCCGTTATTTTGAACTTATTTAAAAAACGATAAAGAGAAAATATGTTTCTTTTATCGAAATCTACCAGCCTTCACAATATGTGTAATTATTTGAAACGCATCCTTGTATAAATATGTATAATTTAAACAGGATGTTTTTTCATACCGGGTGCGTCCGAAAAGTGGCTCACCTCTATAACTTTTTTATTTTTTCAAATAAAAAAAACTACTACCATACCAAATATCGCTTTTTATCTCAACAAATAAAACGTTATAGGAATGAGCCATTTATAAAACGCACCCGGTATATTCAACAAATAAGAATTCGATTGGATTCAAAAGCTATAGGTAATAATCCAATTAAAATAACAAAAAAGAGTTTTATTTTACTAAATCAATCATCCAAAATAAGGACAATTTTCAATAAAGTTATGCGTTCTTCAAAAATAATGTAGATTTTTTCTAAATATTTGCATATAAATATTTTCCAATTAGTAAAATACTATTTCATGAGGCATACGAATTTTCAACTCATAACTAAGTAAAATGATGAAGCAAAATAATTTTCTTCCTCCAGGCAACATGGATAGTTATGTTCAGAAGATCATTTCTCTTTTTCAGGGAATATAATTTTTGTATTTTTTTTGTATGCAAGACTATAGAATTTAGCATCAATTATGTTTTTACAAACATCCTGATTCGAGATTCAAGATTATTAATACTAGAAAAAATCAATTAAAAAATTTGATCAATTTAATCAATTTTAATTATTTTGATGATAACATAAAGTTTCCAAGATTCCAATGATGAGACTTGAATTTGGAACACCCTGTATAACCTACAAGTCAAATATTTCTTTTAATGTAATGCCTCGATTTTGTGCGTTAATTTCGGAATGCGTGTACACCTTAACCATCTGACGTAACAGATTTACGAGCCTTGTAAAATTCCTAAAAGTTTCTTCAGGGAAACATCAAAAATCACTTCTAACGCGTTCCAGCCGCGGCTGATATACAACCGCAATAAAGCTATTAAAAGTAAATTATTGATCTTAAAAGGTTACGTCAACCTAGCTAGAAGAGTCGAGAGAGGTAAGGCCATTAGAAGATATAAAGATTTGAATTAAGATAGCCCCAATAAAAGACAAATAGAGAAAAACAACATATTCTGGGTATTTTTTCCGGTTGTCACACTTAAATCTTCTGACAAATAGAGAGTCAAGTTTGTCACAGTAAAAAGAATATATTTTTTTTAAATGTTGTATTGTTTGATTATTAATGAAAAAAGAAGAATTGGTAAAAGTAACTACAAAATTTCAAGATTCGTTAATATACATTAACTGAAATTTGTTATGTGTTTAAAGTTTTGGTGGTGTATGTGTGGTATGGTAGTACTTTCGTTCCACCGAGGCGCAACTATCGATAGTAAAGAATGGTAAAAGGCTTTTTTTCAAGCAAGCGAAGTTAAAATATAAAAAACAAATTTCTTGCAGTATAGGTATATAATAAAATTATATAAGGATTCTTGCCACTTAACTGCTGATATAGAAATTTAATTCTACGCTGTGTCTGTCATAATGTGGATCAACCTGCTCTCACTACCGGTTTCGGAGCCCTACTCCATCATCAGGTGACCCTGGGCAGATCCACAAAATGACAACCACAGCGCAGAGATAGTTAATTCCGACTTGTCGATGTTCATCCACATTATGACAGACACAGCGTAGAATTAAATTTCTATATCAGCAGTTAAGTGGCAAGAATCCTTATATAATTTTATTTATATACCTATACTGCAAGAAATTTGTTTTCTATTTTATAATTTGGCTTCAGGCAAGCCAAATTATAAAATAGAAAAAAAAAGCGTTTTACCATCATTTACTATCGATAGTTACGCCTCGGTGGAACGAAAGTACTACCATTGCACGCAGGCCACTATCTCCCGTTCGGGACTCAATATCTAACCGACACTTTCCGACAAGTCGGAATTAACTATCTCTGCGCTGTGGTTGTCATTTTGTGGATCTGCCCAAGCTCATCTGATGATGGAGTAGGGCTCCGAAACCGGTAGTGAGAACAGGTTGATCCACATTATGACTGACAGACATAGTATAGAATTAAATTTCTATATCAGCAGTTAAGTGGCAAGAATCCTTATATAATTTTATTATTTTCAATGGCAGTGACATTACAATAACAATAAACACTATTTTATGAGTGTGGCGATGAGGACCCAAAATCAATGCCAAAATTGTTCTAAATCGTTACTCTCTTATTTAAAAGCTAATATCTCCAATAAAAATAAAGATATCGAGATGAATCAAAAAACAAGCTATCAAGAAAAGATGTACTTCGAAGATAAAATTATTTTAAAATTCCTTGCATTGCTAACATATTCCACAGGGTGATTCAAACTTTCCCCAAAATATGAACGTTTTATTTTCCGTCGTATAATTGACAGAAGGAAACTTCTTTTTTAATTTTAAGAAAGAAACTAAAAAGTCAAATAACTGAGCTACAAATTGCTTAAAAAATCATCAAAATCGGCCGACTTGAACAAAATATATTAAACTTTAAAATACATCAAAATTTTAAGATGCCGGTGATTGTATTTACACCCGTTTTATTATTGCACATTTTTCTGAAAAACAAATATTTCTAGAAACAAAGGACTTAACAATTATCGGAATTTTTAACTAATACTGCAATATAACAAACACTGCAAGAAAACATTTCTCAGACGATTTTCTGCGAACTTCGATAACCTGCTATAATTAAATATACATAAAGAAAAAGCGATAAAAAACTGGAAACGGCGCGACGTAATGTAAGAAAATTGGCAACCGCGAGCAGGAGTCGCTGCGAAAAATTACAATTTCTCGGTACCACTGGCGGATCGGTCTCCGGTACGACTCTAATTATGATATCTCAATTACTTAAATCGTCATTAATCACCTGGAATAATGTCTCTATTGCTCTATTCTCGGAAGGGTACCTGATGAAACCACAAAAACGCACATTGGTACGAGCAGTTTGTATAATGATGGGTAATAAATTTGAATTTTGTTACAAATTTTAATTTATGTGTGATGTACATTTTTTTCATATCTTTTTGGACAGTATCTAGTTAAA